AATAGCTTTGAATGTTCCCCCAACTAAGATATTACATTATGATTTAAAAAGTCAACCCACAAAAATCACACAACAATATGAAAGGCCTTGTAGCAACAAGGTTTCAATATATTTAAGGCAAAAACTTGCAAAAAATGACAAATCACAAATCAAAGACTTCAAAGCTGTCAACCATTGAAAAAACTAGACAAAAGGCTACAGCTATGTGGTATTTGAACAACACAACAAATGAACAGAACTACTCAACACACTCATGCTAATGATGTGGATTTATTTTGAGAAATGCTTTGCTCTGCTACTTGTGGTTTTGTGAATAAACATCACAGATTAAGATGCCTACTATGTCACTAGATGATGCAATCTTACAGGAAACAGCACTGAGTGTGTGGTTTGTTATTGTCTAAAAAAGAAGTTATTGGGCACATTATTTTCTGCATGTGGTCATAGAATCTCTGTCAAGACAGATCCCATCTAGGGATATAAAAAATCACCAATATTTAAAATAATTAAATTGATATACAGTGTTTTCTTCAGATATAATAGAACCAAAGTAGGAAACAGAAAAATAATAAGAAAAGTCTCAAGCAAAAAAGAAATCATTCAAATGTACTAAACCAATTAAGAGTACAATGCATCAAAACATATAGGCATTGCTAGGCCAGTACTGACATAGTAGTCCCTGCAGTTCAATGTGTCCACTTGAGGAGAGGTAAATGTACCCTCTAGAAGTCCAATAGAGGGGTCTCACACTAAAATCTTTGGTCCCCTCTGAAAATCCTAGTATTTTTTAAAGTCCACAACAGGAAGATATAGTAAAGACAAAAGTAGAAATTAAGTGGAAAAAACTATATAGAATAATGAAAAAGTAAGAGTTGGTTGTTTCAAAAGAACAATTTTGAAATCAATAAATCTATGGCAAAATTGATAAGGAAAATTGTTAAGTAGAGGGATCATAAGTTGCCAACACCATGAGTGGAATTGAGACATCACTGCAAACCCTGCAGATATCAAATATGTGCACAAAACCATAGCTCAGTCAATATGAGATACATGATTTGAACAGTCCTGTTACCAAAATCATTTCAAACAAATTACAGATAGCGCTGTGTAATTCTACCAAAGAATTCTACACAATATCCCCCAGAAAAGGAGAGGATAGAATTGAAACAAAGACAGTAAAAAAGACAGAAAACATACAAACAAATGAAACGGAAAAAACGAGAGCGAGGGAGAAAAGGAGGCAGGAAGAGAGGCAGGGAGGGAGAGACCATCACTGGCCAATGCCCTTCTACATCCTTTGTGCCCTGACTGATATAGCATTGTGGTGACATGTCTACACCACTGGGGGGACTGGTTAAAAGACAGAAGGGATTTCTTTCCATTCTTTACAGTTGGGTATGTATATAAATTGTTTCAAAACAAAATGTTTCACTTTTCAAAAGTCTGAAAGTATAAAACAAAAACAAAAGCAATATCATTTTTTCCTGGAAAATTTGTAGTACATAATACAAAATTTGTTGTTTTATAGTCTGTGTGTTTGGATGTAGGCATTAATAAAAGTAATTTGAGGGTACAATGTGACATGTTTATAGTCCAATATTTAGATAGCTGAGGCAGGAGAACTGAAAATTTGAGGCCAACAAATTCAAGACAGTCTCCACATCAGAACAAAAGAAAATCAAAAGGCTTCAGTCCCCAAATTAGAGATGCAAATAAAATAGTAATTTTAGGAACTGGAGAGATGATTGAGTGGGTAGAGTGCTTGCAAGACACAGGAACTGAGGGCCTGCAGGGGGCTGCTAGCATCCAAGCAGAAGCTAGGAGGAGCAGAGCGCAGAGCGTGCTTGTCACCTCAGTTCTGGGGAGGCTCACACAGGAGAGTCCCTGGGAGCTGGGAAGTCAGTCTAGCCAAATTGGGGTGCTCCAGGTTCAGTAAAGACCCTCTCTCCAAAGTAAGGTGGACTTGAACCAGATTAGGTCAGCGAAAATCTTAGGAAGGGTTGGGAGGGGGCTCATGGAGCCCCATCCCTCTCTCCGGAACTTTTGGCTAATAGTGAGGGACTAATAGTTGTTTTACTCAGGAGTGCCAGCACATGCACATCCAGGCTGCATTAGATGGACTCAGTGGTTTTAAAAAGAGACAGACACGGAGAGAGGAGCAGGAAGAGCACACACACACACACACACACACACACACACACAGAGGAGCAGGCAGAGTACACACACACAGACACACACACACAGAGGGGGAGGGGCAGGCAGAGTACACACACACACACAGAGGGGGAGGGGCAGGCAGAGTACACACACACACACACACACACACACACAGGGGCAGGCAGAGTACGCATACACAGTTGAGGTGGGAAAGTAAGCTGGTGGGAGAAAGTAAGAAGGGAAGGACTGGTCATGCATTTGACCTGAAAACATTATACGCATGATTGAATATTAAGTCCATCATTTTCCAAGTGAAGTGGAGGGTGACAGAAGACACCCAGTGCTGATCTCTGGCTTCCAGAGACACACGCACACAGGTACACATCCATGCAACACACAAACACATGTACAATTAAAAACAAACAGTAATTCTGCAGACATACAGGATTGCTGATTAACTTTAGCAAAAAACGTTATGGAACTCTTTATTTTTAAAACTGAATAATATTTTTAAAATTTCACAACATTTCATGAAAATAAGATATGATAATTCATCCAGCTTGTATGTAAGAACATTTTACCTCCAAAGAAGGATCTCATAATGGACTTGTATTAAATTTCCTCCAGCAATGCTTCATGACATTGTTGATCCTCGTTAATCTTGGAAGCATTCTCATCAGTGTCAGGAAAACTACCCGACAGTAAGCACCTGTTGGAGGTGGACGGCATGGACCCTCCACAAAAATGATTAGCCAGACAGTTTTAAGCTTTTACTTTGGATGCTTGTCTCTTTGTTTTTGCTTTTTGAAGAAAAACATCAAGCACACACAAACTTTATACATCAGGAGTATCTTCACTTAACTTATTATATTAGACTCTCAGTTCTCTTCCTATTTTACACATGAGAAATGGAATATAATAATGTTATAATATAACGTTAATACCTGATGGAAGATAATGATTTCATAGAACAAATTTCAATAATGACTAATATTTCTAAGTGAAGGCATAAGTAAAATAATGGGCCACAGGTAAAACAGCATTATATTGCTCTTTAAGATCTCTTGGAGCAAGGAAGGCTCTTTTTGAGGTCAAAGGTTAGCAACACCATGGGGTCATGCCCACAAAGGGGTGTTATCAGAGTAAAGACACGAGCCTCACAAGCCATCCCAGGTATTTTCTCTAAGGGTCCCTGTGTTATGAGAGACCAAGAGCTTGAGGTCTTATTGTTCCATGAGCTTTATTTTGAGGGAATCTTGTCTAAACAATGTAATAATCATGCTGAGATGCATAGAATGGCTAAAACCAGGACACTGCCCATTCTGCATCATGTTGATATTAGATGGAAAGGCAGACAAAATGCAAAGTTGTTAAAAGAAATATGAATGAAATTCCTTGATTAGATCCAAGCCTCACTACTTCCAAGATATAAGGTGTTAGCCAACTTACTTCATGCCTCCAGTCTTAAAATCCCTCAACTATAATATGAACCCAAGAATATTATAATGTAATTTTATAATATTTTATAAAATAAATCTCCCATATTAAAACAATAACTTGAAGTATTAATAATTTCAGTTAATACAATTGATCTTTAAAGTTGTATGTAAACTGAATAATTACATAATCTTTTAAATATATTTTCTGAGAAGGCGAAGTGATAAGAATTAATTAAAGCATAATTAAATTACGAGGAGGTTATTGTAAATTCAAACACCTGCATGGTGTCCTGCTCTGTTCTAAGAAAATGTTATATACTTCAGTGCAAAAATACTTAATGAGACTCATTTCCCATTAGCTCCTTGATAGAAATTTTCAAGAATAAAATTCAAGTTACCAGATTAAAACTCATTTATATTCATGAATAAATCAAGAAAAATTAAAAAGTACATTAAAATTGCTCATCCAAGAACACTAATTTACAAACATATTTATAAGAATTTCACATGCATGACTTCTTCATAATATTTAAGTAACTTATCTTTAGAAATCAATGTGTGTAAATAAACTACATTATAAAACACTACAAGGTTAAATATTATTTCCTCAATTTTTAAAACACTTGGGCCTGGGAAGAAGAAATTAACTAAGCAATGCTATAATTGTAGTAACAGCTGCACAGCCAATATTTAATCACTATCCTGTGAGACGGTCAGTAGAGGAAGGCAGGATTAACATATTGCTTTAAAACATTCCAGTATGTTCTGCATCTGTTTACTGACAATAAAAGACACAGCTGTTCCAAACGATGCACACTAACAGGTGTAACGTGCTGGTCTGGCACTTTTCGCACAAGTTACCCCTCATTTCCTTTTGGAATACTCTAAAATTATCCTGTAAGCCACAGTACCAATACCATAAAGTGTTTCCATATTAATTTTGATTATTCTAGTCATTAGGAGATGCTTCTTTCTCTGTGAATTCAACAGCTTTTAAAACAAACACTACAGATCCTGAACTAATTATAATTACCCCAGATGTTTTCCATAAAAATGGTATCTTTAGCAAATGTTACATATCAAATTCACTGCAAAGAGTATCAAAATTATGAAGGAAGAACTGTATCAACTGCACTATGCTTAAATCAAAACTATGAGTAAACTTGAACTTGTAGTTTATTTTGCCAGAGTACTTCAGTTAATCTCCAGCTATACATATTTAAACCAAGGGACCATGAGGAAATTCAATAATAATAAGTTAGCAACAATCACTCACTCAAGCATGACAATAACCACATGTTGTGAACATCATATAAATGTTTTAAAGACACTGTTATGCATGATATATTAAAATCTGTTAAAATGATCTGAGCAAAAAAAAAGCAACTCCATTGTGTTCTAGTATGTAGTAAATGTAGATGACTATTTTTATTTATAAATTATAGCAGTGACATTATAAGTACAAACCAACGTCAATGAAAAGATTAAAGAACTGATGATAAACAGAAGGTGAAAATTTTAATTTGGTTCTTCTATTGACTTTTGACATATAAACTCTGGAGAGAAGATGCAGGAGCAAGTCACAGGAGTCGGAAACGCTCCAGTCGCCTTCTCTTCTTTTCCTATAGTTAAGACATTAGTCATGTTAGTTTTGAAAAAGGGTGTTACGTGGACATTTATAGGGTCCCTATACTATACATACTAGAAAAATATGCAATCTTTCAAAAACAAGTTTTTCTTAAGCAAAATTACACGAAGCATTCTGATTCCTACAGCAGCTGATGTATAAATGATATTTTTAAAGCCAGGGCTTCAGTAATGCCTAAACTTGCCTTGAGCTCACTATACAGCCAAGAATGACCTTGAACTTCTGATCCTCCTATCTCTACCTCCCCAGTTCTGGAATGACAGGCTGATGTGGACTGGGCCTAGGGCTCCTGCCTGCTATGAAAACAATTTCCCCTGAGCCACATCTCATCTTAAATTTAGATGAATGTAGTATTGCCAAAGCTGGTCAGGTTCTTCTGGAAGCCAATTATTATCAATGCAAACTCTTGCTTTTCTGTTTAAGGTATCCATTCGCATGTTTGTTTGGAGGAGAGTGAGTTCTGGAGACTAAACATGGCCTGGTGCATATCAGCCATACACACTCTACCACCGAGCATCACCAGCTCCTGATGCTTGATTTCTGAAAGGCAATATGAGGAGTTTTTAACATGGAAAAAAAGTCAAGAACAATAATATTGACTGTTTGTTTGAGACAGTTTTATTATGTAGCCTAGATGGCCTGGCAGTCCCTATGTAGGCCAGAATGGCTTTCCTCCTGCCTTAGCCTTACAAGTCCTGATATTACAAGTGTGTACCATGGTGCATGGCTTCTGAAAATGATCAGCTGCCTGAAATTCCATTAATAATGATGCAAAACAGTATCATGTGACCTTAGAAATAAGCCATAGATGATGTAAGTTGTCTGATGAACAAATTAAAGTAATATTATATAGTAACACAGAACTGTACGATACAAAATTCAGGAATTATACATACTTCAGAAATCCCTTGAAATTCACAAATTTAATTGCTATAGGTCATCAAAATACCTTCCTTTTATAATTTTTTATAACCATGTGCTAGAATGTTTATGAATAAAAACGTTTATGTTCATCCCCTTGGGAATGCCATCCTAAGCCCTTTCTGCCACCCACTGTTTCCCAGAGACTCTTGAGCCAGGCAACATGGTGAGTAAGAACCCCGCCCCTCCCCACTCCTCTCAGCCCCATCCTCCAGATTCTCCTCCCGATCTCTGCCTGCCACCTGCTGCCATTAGAAGACTTTGCAGCAGTACCATGCAGCTGGTCAGGAACCCTTGCTCCACCCCTCTTTGCTCTCTCTATCAGGATTCCATCCAGCCTAAGTACTGGGTATTCCTACGACTCATCTAATCACCATCTGGCCCTCTGAACCAAAAAGTCGTATCAAAAGACACAAGCCTCACTCTAACTCCAGAAGCCCAAGTCTAATAAAAACACACATAATGTAAAACTAAAACTAAAGCCAACTATGACTGTACATTGTTTCCTTAAACTACAAATTCCATAGTAATTGTCTCTATAAGAACAAGGCAAACAATTCGAAAGAACAATTATAAACTAGTTGAAACAGTTCAGAGAAATCAATCAGGACATGAATAAACATTTCAACAAACTTAAAGAAGAGATTAATAAACTCCTTATGGAAGCCCAAGAAAACAAACACCTGCAAGAAAGAATGAGGGTAAATCCATGATACTACCTTAGAATGAGAGAAAGGAAAAGAAGTATTCCAATACGATGGGATAAGGAAATAAGCAGATGTCACTACTTTAATATCTGACAAAACAGAATTCAAGCCAAGCTAATCAGAGGACATAAAGTTGCTTCACTCTAAACTTGGGCACACTCAATTTCAGAAAATAAATAATACTAGAATTAAGTCAATTAGTCCAACATGGTTATAGTAGATGACTTCAGTGCCCCACTTATGCCAAGACATAGGTCATCAATAGAAAAACAGAAACGCTGGAGTTAAGTGACACCATAGAGCAAATGGACTTAATGAACACCTATGGAACGTTCCACCCAAAGGCTACAGAAAACAATTTCCCTCAGCAGTCCATAAATTTACTTGAAAATAGAACACAAAGTATGACAAAAATAAATCCTCAACCAGTACAGGAAACATAAAAAACTTCCTGTATTCTAAGAGGAAACCAGACAATTCAAACTCAGAGATTTAACATACTTGCACTCTGGAGTATGAAAGGTTCAAGAAGTAAATAAGAATTCTTAGAATTGAATGAAAATGAAAACAAACAAATCAAAACCTAAGGGTCGTAATGAGAGCAGTGCTAAGAAAATTTATATCTGTAATTCTGCAACTGCCTATATTGCTAAAATCACAGATATCAAATTAATAACCTAATGGTGTACCTCAAGACATTGGAAAAAATCAAATCAAACTCAAAGTTACCAGATAGAAGAAATAACTAATATTAGGACAGAAATTAATGAATCAATTTTTAAACAATAAATGGAATCAATGAAATAATGAATTGGTTCTTTGAAAGGACAAAACTGATAAACAATTAGCCAAATTAACCAAAATAAAATGAGAAAAATCCAAATTAATAAGACTAGAGTTGAAACTGAATCATTACAATAGATACCTTAAAAATATGTATTTTCCAAATTTGAAATGTTAAAAAGGATGAACATGTTGAAGCACATGACCCACCAAAGTTAAACCAAGATGAAATAATTTAATATAACAAACCTAAAATAAACAACTAGACTGAATCAGTTATTAAAAAGTTCCTCAAACAGGTTGGATTCACTGTAGAATTCTATAAGACCTTTAGAGAAGAATTAAAAACCAATGCTTCTCAACTACATAAAAACAGCAAACAAGAAATGTTCCGAAATTTTTTCTATGAAGCATGCATTATAACGATAGCAAAACCAGAGACAGATATACAAAGAAGGAATTTATAGATCAATTTTCAGAATGAATGTATAAGCACTTGCAAACTAAATTCAAACACACATCAAAAATAATCTGTTAAGGCTAAGTTGACTTCAGTTCAAACATACAGGGAACAATTCAACATAAATTAATAAATATAATTAATCACATAAATGGCTCTGTGGACAGAAATCATGGTATCATTTCAATGTAGATGCAAAAAAGGCCTTTGACAAACCCAACATCACTCTGTAACAAAACCCTTAAGAGACCTGAAATGAAGGGACATATATGAATATAATAAGGGTGATATATGGCAAACACAAGCCAACATCACCCTAAATATTGAAAAACTTGAAGCAATACCATTAAAATCAGGAAGAAGAGAGGGACTCAATTTCCACTGTTCCTATTCTTTTTCAAAATAATGTTTGGAGCATTAGATGGAGAAATAAGGTCAAGGAAGGAAACTAAAAGGATAAAAATACAAAAAGAAAAAGTCAAATTATCCCCTATTACCGATGCTATTATCTGTAAAAGTTCCCAAAAGTTCCTAAAAAAATCTCCTGGCATAAAATGTCCAGGAAATATGAAATGTTATAGACAGACCACTTTTGTGGGGGGTTTCAAGACAGGCTTTCTCTGCATATCAGCCCTAGCTGCCCTGGAACTAGTGCTGTAAAGCAGGCTGGCCTTGAACGTATAGAGATCTGTCTGCCTCTATCTCCTGAGTGGTGGGATCAAAGGCATGTGCCACCAATGACTGACTGACAGACCACATTTAAGAATAATAGGAATGGGGCTGCATTTAAAAATAATAGGAATAGGGGCTGGAGAGATGGCTCAGCAGTTAAGAACACTCACTGCTCTTCCACAGGTCCTGAGTTCAATTCCCAGCAACCACGTGGTGGCTCACAACCATCTATAGTGGAATCTGATTCCCCCTTCTGTCATAAACTTGTAAATGCAGATAGAGCACTCATAAATAAGCAAACAAAAAATACTCTTAGAAAGTCCTTTTTAAAAAAAGAATAATAGGAATAGAGGAAGGAGAAGAAACACAGGTCAAAGGCACAGAAAATATTTTAAACAATATCATAGAAGAAAATTTTCCTAATCTAAAGAAAAAGATGTCTATCAAAGTACAAGAAGTGCCGGGCGGTGGTGGCACACGCCTTTAATCCCAGCACTCGGGAGGCAGAGGCAGGCGGATCTCTGTGAGTTCGAGGCTGGGCTGGACCGATAGCCTCCAAAACAATACAGAGAAACCCTGTCTCATAAAAACCAAAAAAAAAAAAAAAAGTACAAGAAGCAGCCAGGGGATGATGGTGTGTACCTCTAATCCCAGCACTCTGGAGGCAGAGACAGGTGGAGCTACCTGAGTTCAAGACCAGCCTGGTCTACAAAGTGAGTTCCAGGACAGCCAGTTTCTCTGGCTGGTTTGTTATACAGAGAAACTCTGTCTGGAAAAGCCAAAGTACAAGAAACATACAAAGCACTGAAGAGACTATACTAGAAACGGAATTCCCTTGGCAACTAATAATCAGACCACTAAATGTACAGAAAAAAGAATATTAAAAGCTTCAATGGAAAAATAGCAAGTAACATATAAAGACAGATCTATTAGGATGAGACATGGCTTCTCAGTGGAGATCCTAAAAGCCAGAGGGCCTTACAGACATGTTACAGATGCTAAGAGATCACAGATGACAGCCAGACTATTATGCCCAGCAAAACTTGCAATCACAATAGGTGAAGAAAATGAGATATTCCATGACAAAACAAAATATAAGCTCCATCTATAAATCCAGCCCTATAGAGGATGCTAGACGAAAGAATTCAACCTAAAGAGATTAACTACATCCAAGAAAACAGAAGGAATAATCCCAGAGCAATGAATAAAAAGAGAAACAAAGAGAGAGAGAGAGAGAGAGAGAGAGAGAGAGAGAGAGAGAGAGAGAGAGAGAGAGGGAGAGAGAATAATAGGAATTAACAAACACCACTCATTGTAGCGGCATCTTGCTGGTGTTATGACAGAAGAAAACAAAAATCATAGGAACTATTATTGCAATACTCTGTTATCTCTCAAAAAAATCCCAATTTTCCTCATACTAATTTTCATTCT